CAAGGAACAAGAGCTGCTTGTATACTGCGCCTACAAGGAGTCCAATTCCATATCTCAGAAATCGAACCCCCACACTGCGGCTACCAGTAAGGTGTGAAATAAGCGCACTCCTATCCTTTGCACCACTGGGTTATGTCTCGAGGGGCTTCTACTCGCATATCTCCAAAAAATGAAATCTTCACTGTGAATTAAAAAGAGAGGAGCAAATTTTTCTAACAAAAACTTGATTGATATTACAATTACAGGGAATTATTTCGCATTACATCTGTTGAAGGGTAAAAACGTGACATTAAGAGTTGGGTTGGTTTTGAATGTTTAGATTCATGCTCTTACCATAGATAATAATATTGACAATGATGGATGTGGAAATTTCCCACATGGGGTCAAGAAATGTACAACTATGGACTAGCAAAGTTGATATGATCCGAGATAGGTCAAAAAATATAATTATGCTCAAACAGGGAGCCTAATTGGCGCACCGAACCCACAATAGGGAGCGCCATTTTCAGCGAACTGGACGTATAGGACCACGTGGCCCTATCCGTCCAGCATTGCCAAGCATAAAATCAAGGACTTGATGAATGTTAACAAGAGGCCAAGACCAAGATTCGAGTTCAATTCGAGCCAACAAGGCCACACAAATACTTATTCAAGCTATGTAGCTCAAAATGTTGAAGTTCGCGAGATAAAGATCAAGTTACATGTTGAACGTTGAAGGTGGAACGGAGGGACTTAAAGTGGCTACTATGCAACCGCATAGTAGCACAAGTCATGCGGTCGCTTGGCTCCAACTCGAAAGCAACCGTGCAGGGAGTAGATGTTCCATACAACCGCATGGAATAACACCATGCAGTCGCACTGTATAAATTCAGGGAAAAAATTTCGTTTTCCACACGAGTTTCATATTTCCATTAGAAACTCTAATTTTTTAATATTTTTACCATATTTTGAACATTTTTTCTGTTTTAATCAAGCTTTTAAGATTTCATATGGACAACTTTGATATTTTGAGAGAATTATACAATGGGCTGTTTTGCTTTTACTTTTCTTGTTCTTAATTGAACAATTCGAATTTATCAAGATTAACGATCTTGTGTCGTTCACAGATTCAGGTGTGATTCAATCATTGTATGATTAAGAGGTCGATGAACTCTATTTTATTGGTTGCTTGGTTCGTAGTTTTTGGATTAAATCCAAAATCTTGAATCTTTGGCGTTCTTGAAAATTGATTTTGATCTCGTGTGGATTTTGTACTCGTTGTTGCTACGCGGGTTCACACCAAAAGTACATACAAATAGTGATGGATTCGCGTATCTTGGTGAGCTAGAATGATCACTAATTGTTGACCATCGACGATCACAATAACGAAATCATTTATTAATACTTAATTAAATAATATTAACAATTTTTTAATCAATATGTAAATGCTCTAAAACGTCAAAATTATGTACATATGAAAATATAATTCAATACAACTTAATACAATAAAAATAAATAAATGATACAATCTCATTTAGTAATTGTAAGCTCGGAAAATCGCGTTTTTTGGGTACTCATAATTTGAAAGTGCTACAAGATTGTCTCGGTCTCATTTTTTTCAAAGATCTCTAGCTCTATATACAGCACCGAATTATCATTCAATTAGTCATCTCTCAGTTTGTTACAAATTTCTCTCATTTTGTTACAAGCATTCCTTATTCTCGTCCTTCAATTTCTAAAATTCTTCATTTTCAAATTGAGCTACAGAAATGAAAAAAGCCCAAAAAAACCCTAGAAAATTTACTACAGTAATCCTCACCTTCAATGATTCTTCAAATCCAATCAATACAGCAGTCAACAAACCCGTCGAATAAAACATCATAGTCAGGGGAAAAACAATAAAAATCTTGTATTGATTAAGCCCTTGTTCGAGGCACGTCATTTCAACAAGAATATTAATAAAAAATTTGTGGTTAAAAAAAAAATTTGAATTTACATATAATATTATTTTATTGAAAAATATGTAATTGAAATAATGTCAAATTATTATTAAAAATATATATATATTTTTTTAAATGTGGATCAAACACACTCTAAATTACATATTTGAACTCTGTATCAATTTCACCTCAGGAAAAAAATAAAATAAAAATACCATCAACTTTGAAAAACGCGATTTCAGCAAAATTTTGGAAATTTGAGAGAGAGAGAGAGGATGTTGAGGTTGGTGCTTGTGAAAGAAGTAAGGGCCCGTTTGGTAGAGATTTTGAGAATTGATTTTTTGACCGTTAGAAGAAAAGTGGGGTCCACATGTGAGAGAAGAAATCAAAAATTACGGTTTGAATAGTAAAATAACGGTCAAAAAATCAATTTTTTGGGGCAAAAAATCTCTACCAAACGGGGCCTAAATCCAATCACGCAATTTCCTGCTCTCTTTCTCCAATAAGTTAAGCTCCTGTTTGGTACTCACTAAATTAAATTAAATTACATTTTATTTTTTTCTCTTCTATTTTTAACTACACAATCTTTCATAAAATAATATTACACGTAAATCAAAAAATTTTCTTTCTTTTTCAACCACTCATTTTTCTAAAAAATACCCCTCATTTTCATTTTCAGGTAACGGGGCTAAATTATTTTTTCATGGAAGAGAAATCCTTTTTTGGCCATGCCCACAAGAGAAGCTGTCTGTCTCACCTATTTAAAAAAATAATAATAAAAATAAAAATAAAAAAGAAGTGGTTACATTTTCATGGTTCAATTTGGTTATTTCTGGACGATAAAATGACCCACTTAACTCAATAGTTAAAGTATTCCAACTCAATATCGTCAAGAACTCCTCACTATCGCATGAAAAAAGTTTCATCTCCTAAAAATTTTTTCCTTCTAATATTCACCACCGTATGACTAACCTACAATTATTAGCGATCCGACTTCATGCAGGTCCAGCCTGCAATCCGAACAGATGATGGGTTTTTGGAATTATTTGGAGATAGGGAAATCATAATATGTTTGGCTCACCAAAGACTATGAAAATTGGGCGTGGGTCATGTATTTTTCCGTTCTCGTACCATAATTCGATGCACTAAGCACCAACTTAATCTCAAAATTAAGAACAATATTTAGAAGAAAGGTCTACAAGGACATGTTTCAATCTTTAGGTACCAACAAACATAGGTTAAAATATTCTAAGCAAATTTCATTTTCTCACAATTGGATAACTAAATTTGTTGGCTTGCTAAACATAAAAGTAATATGGGTGTTAACATGGCACAAATCAATCTGATCTGAACACATATTAAAGTCAACTGCTACATTTATATTTTCATTTATGAAGCTATGGAAGCAAAGCAACCTAATTAAAACAAAATTATACATTTAGTACTATTTGAAAGTTAAGTTTTTACTCTCATTTTCAACAACACATTCTTCAAAAAAAATTTTAAAAATAATAATAATAATAATAATTCGCTTTTCAAATAAATTTTCTCACGCAAGCTCTTAATAACTTAATTATGAAATAGGAATATAAATTTGGTAGTCAATACAAACGTTTAAATACCCACAGATGCTTCCCCTCGAACACTGTTTCTCCTCAGGAAACAGATGTAATAGCAAAGATCCATCACAACCAACAAATTCAGCCCGTTGCACTTCTTTGACAACCGGGACAAGATAGCCGCAGAAAGACAAAAGGCAAAAGGCAAAATCTTTAAACATCTCAAAGTAATGAAATGTAGCGGAACATAACAAGAGAAGTTTACGAACAACAGAATCAACAAAGTCTTGCAATCCAAATGTTTCTGATATCCCGAGATCCTCGGTGTGGAGGAGTCTTCTTCTTGTCCCCCACCACACACGTGCACACACAAAAACACAAGTCGACAGCAAACAATTTCAACTCACCGTCGGACTAGGAATGAAGTTGGCTTTCTATTTGCAGTGGTCCTTTGAGCCATAGGGACTAGAGTCCAACAGAAGGAATTAAGGCAACTGGAAGAAGGTATTTAAATTAAAACATTGATTTACAGCATTCTTTATCCTTATAGCAGACAAAATTTCCTGTATGCTGATCTGTTGAAGGTATTTTTCAAATATGCATAATCATCAACCCCAGTAAAAAAAAAAAAAACCTCTTGCCATGTGCATTATACTTTGTTGTCTAATCCCACAAAATAGAATGAATATCTTTCTTCTCCAGTGCCAGATGATCAGTGAAAGCATCAAATGCATAGAATTAAGAAAGTATAGGTAAATGCATAACAGCAGAGGCATGTCAAAAAGGAAATATTCATTGCATGAATTTTATCAAATTTTCGAATATTAAATTGGATTAAATTGAAGACCTAATGTAGTTGACTTTACTCGCAAGATACCACAACATCGATAACAACGAATGCAACAAGGACATCAATGATATGAAAACCTCAGCTTCAGCAAGTTATATTGAGAAGGAAATGCTATCAATGGACCTAGCATTCAACCATTTGATCTAAAAGCTTAAGTGCTTAGAGAGAACCACATATATATCATTCAAATCTAATCTTCAACATGCACTCTCACGGTAAATGGGGTTCATTTCTTTCACATCAAAGCCTAACACATACACAATTCAATAAATGTTTGATGGTGAGATTTGAACCCATAACATTTGCATGATGTTGCCATGTTGAACCATCTGAAGGAAAAATTTTAAAGTTGTTAGAGAGGATCACATATCCATTAAAATGATTAACTAAAAAGAAAGGAAGCATTTGCAACAATATGTCAGGGGACAAACAAAAACTTGTGCAAAAATGAATTCAATCATCAAAATTCACGTGCCAAAATTAGCTTCATCACATCACACTAAAAGGTCTAAAACAGTGCCAGCATTAGCTTCATGTAATAATACTTCCAATGTTGCATGCATAACTTATAGACGTTACCCTCATAAAAAAACCCACGCCAAGAGTGATAATATGAGAAGATGGCAAGACAGTGAACAAACTGATGAATAATAACTTGGTTAAATCAATACGAACAAGAAGCCACCCACTTTATCAATTGTCCATAAGACCTGTCATCTTCAAACACAACAATATATAATACTAATTACTAAATACAACTAGCTATTATATAACCACCAAAAGAATTTGTCTCCAATAAATACAGGCAGATCAATCATGACAATTTCAATTTTCGTGGGTCAAGTAATCTCTGAATGTACATTTTAACAGTACATGATATCACCTAAAGCCAGCTAATGAAAACATTCCCATAGCAGAGCCCACCCTGAAAGTGAGAAATATCAAATATATGGCAACTAGTCCTGCTCCAAGAATCTTGCTCGGACGCATGTTATTTCTAGGTAAAACAATGAGTGCCCAAATAATTCCTGAAACGAGAAATCCCAAGGTGAAATACAAGCTTCTATCTTGAGGGAGTACAAAGGGACCAGGTTTCTCAGACCAGGCTCCCAGAAGCATTGATATGCCCAATCCAATGAGCGTGTTGAACATAGGACCCGCATAACATCCAGACATTGCAATCTGTACGCCATCCCCACCATTCATTGACAAAGCAACGTTTGAAACCAAATCACCCATCGAGTTTCCCCAAGCCAATACAGTTAACCCAAGGATGGAGGGATTGACACCTAGAACCACACCAAATCCCACAAGTAGAGCAACAAGCTCATTTGCAATCATGTAAAACCAAATGATACTCATCACAAATCCTCCTATAACCCATGGAAGTAAGAATTTCTGAGGTGGACGATCTGGCCTTGTGTGCTTATATGTAAGAACACAAAGGGTGCTTCCAACTGAGACGCCGATGATATACGCAGCTATTCTGCTTTGAGAACCCACGTTGTCTTGTGAACTCCACAAACAAGCAAGAAGAATCGGAGCCAGTAAAGCACAGCCCATAGCACATGGCTTTGACCAAGTTTCCTCCTCGACTAAGGGAATTGTGAGCCGCCTCGGTACAGTCAGAGGCAACTCCAGAAGGGAAAATAGCTTCGACCAAGAAAATGATGGCCGCTCAATTTCTCTCTCTTCTTCATTCCATCCCCACAAAGACTTGTCACCATCAGGGATCTTCAGCACCTGGTTTGAATAAATTGCTACATTAGAAGCCCACATCCACTGAGGTAGGGAACCATGGGACTGGACTCCAACACTTTCAGTCTCAATGTCAAGCAATGAGCTGAATAAGGGTTCCTCATCTAGATTTCCATGAGAAAACACACTTCCTCTTACAGGAAGCAAAGGAGTAACAGCGTCCAGTTTCAACCTCTGGGCCTGTTCCCTCAAAATCTCATTGGCAGCCACAGCAAAGGAATACAGAACATAAATCGATGTAAATGCAATGGCAGCACCAACAGTCACTTCACCGACAATCAAGATCCAAAACAGAGACGCAAGGGCAAGCATAAAAAATAGAATATCCCTTATAAAGCACTTCTTGTCGATCTTAATGTCCTTATCTGCTATACATAGGGAAACAGCCCCAACAACAATGCAAGTAACAAACACTGCCCCTCCTAATACACTATTAAGGCCCACATCTCCCGTGCCAGTACCTACAAAAGCAGCAATGCTTGCAAACACATCTGGAGCGCCATTTCCAAGTGGAAGCAGAGTTACACCAGCAACAGTAGGAGATAGCTTCAAAAGAGTCGAAAGCTTTTCCAAAGAACAGCAAAAGTAATCAGCCGCAGTGTTGCCTAAAAGATAGAACAATGCAGCAAGCCAAGTACCCAACACTAGAAATGCCCATGCGCTCTCACCGCAATCACAATAGTAAAACTTCAAGTAATCAAAAAACCCATCTGACGTGCACTGCGGATGGGCTTTCAGGAACTCACAGCTACTACTATAGCCATTGTGATCAGACAATCCCGCACAAAATTCAGGCTTCTTTACATCCAAATTATTAGGATCGGAGCCATTTACAGTTGAAGAATTTGCACTTAATTCAACCATTTCTCTGCGATTCACGAATTGGCTCCCCACACCGGAATAAAACCCACTGCCTGAGCTCCATTTAGATACTGAATACGATTGCTTCGAAAGTTGGTTTCTCACAATATCTCCCCGATTGTAAAACAACAAAATCAAAACTAGGGCACATAACCCATTGAAAATCCCACGAAGCTGGGGACTTCTTTTACTACAAAATCCATTTAACTGCCTCATTTTTTTCCCCTATTAATCACCTGAATATCTCTCGTATCAATATCATTACCAAAAATAAAAATATTCAAAGCCTACTCGAAAATCAAGCTAATCAAAATCAAGCCCAGGGTTTCAGTTCACGATTAAAGAAACCCTAGTTAAGGGAAAAAAAAAAAATCTTCCAGAATGGACTGACCTCGATTTTGGCACGAATGTAATGAGCAAATTTTAATTGATTAAAGGCTTGAGAGAAAGGTGAAATTAGGGTTCACGGGTATTGAAATGCGACAGGTTAATAAAAATTGATACGTAGTTGACTAAAATTTTGTTCCGCTGCTTTTTCTTGATTAACTTTCCTCTTCTTTAACCACCACCCAACCCCGCGGAGTAAATACATGGAACGGCAATTTGACTACGCCATATTTTCACAATTGACCATTTAAAAAAAATAAAATTAAAAGTTAAAATAAATTTTTAGATAACATTCTGCAAAAATACTCCCATCTTCCACAATCAAAGAAAGGAGAAGTAAAAAATCACATGTTTACAGTTGGGGTCCAATCGAGCTCAACATCCTCACAGTCTATCTAATACCGATCACTACAAAATTGTTCATTATCTTCAAAAATGTTAGTTTTTTTGGAGTTTAAGCTATTGATTTTTTCATTTTATTTGGTTTGTGAATTTGTGTATTAAATTGTTATATATGATGTTTATAAGACATTATTTAGATAGATTTATGAGTTTATAATGGATTATAGTGAAATTTCTTTGGAAATGGCAATTTCTCGCCATTCCCGGTGAGATAATTGATGAGAACAAACAGTCAGTTCTAGGCCGACTCAATCGACTATCCATTTTAATTTTTTCAGGGAAGACTCAATCGACTAAAAGTTGGAGGACCTGGCGTGCAATTCTTTGAGAACAAACAGTCGGTTCTGGGCCGACTCAATCAACTAAAAATTACAGGTGATGAAGCATCTGGTGATGGTACCTAGAACCGACTGTTTGTTCTCAAATAATTGCACGCCAGGTTCTCCAACTTTGGTTTCATCCAATTTAGTCCTTAAATTTTGAAAAAAAAATTCAATCAAGCCCCTCATAATTTGCAACTTGAGTCCTTGAACTTTCTGAGTTGTACATTTTATTCCCCAAAATCATGATTTTTGTCCATTTTTATTCGTTTTTCCTTCCTTTGGCCTTGTTCAATTACCTTGAGTGATTTTTTGCCTACAAAAACAAATATTACCTAATAGTAAGTAGAATTCCACTCATCTCATGAATAATAATCATATTTAGATATTAAATAAGTGTGTAAAAACACACTTATCAAAGACATCGATATCGTCGACGATCTCCAAATGGAAGAGGTCGATTGCAGTCTTCTTGTGATAACACTACACCACACTCTCAGTGATATAGACCAGTTCTAGCTTCAATTTGTCCAACATTTGGTCATGCCCCCTAATTATGTCAATCAACTGTGATAGAAGCATCGTCCCCTGTCCTTGAAAATAAGCCTCATACAGCCTTGTTGTTTCTGTGCGCACATTTTAATTTTTTTAGGGGTTTCTTGTAATTTGACTGGGATGATTTTTATCATTTTTAAACACCATTTCTCACAATTCTTTTTCATCTTGAATAAACTGTAGCCTTGTGGAGACAAAGAAGAAACGAGAAAATGAGAAGATTCAAACCAAGATTTTGGAGTTCAAGGAAAGATTCAAGATTTCAACCCCATTTTTTTTTTCAAGAATACCTTTAAGGGAAATGTTTCTTCTTTCATTTTGTATCTTTTCATTAGGTCCTTCATTTTGTAATGTATTTCATCACATTCTCCATGTTCTATCCCTTACATAATAATGGCCAAGCGTTTATAGTTGGGATTTATGATGTAACTTGACCTAAGTTTCATTAATATCAATATATTTACCATTTAATGCTAAGGTGCTATTGTTCTTGAGTAAATTTTTTTTATTGTGTTTACATTTCCATCATTTGTTTGGCCAATAGATGATTGGGTTAGGTGGTTTGTGTAATTACTGAAACATGGTTGTATTTTCTAGACCAAAGTAATTAATGCCCTAGGTTGTTTTAGGATATAGAGATACACTCCTAACCCTAGGTGACCCATTAAGTTATTTTCATTACAATTTAATGCGGTTGGTTGCGTTTTTATCGACATAGAGATATAGTAGACAAAGAAAATCAATTAGGGTTAGTTTCACTTGGTAATTTACATTTTTGGTTTATTGAGATATTAATGAAATGACAGTCAGGTGAAATCATAAATCCCAACCTATCTAAAATTTAGAACATTTTCACTTTCATAATTGTTAATTAAATTTAAACCTAGAAGTATTTTTGTTTTATTTCTAATTTCAAAGAATTTAATTGTTTGTGTCTCTATCGCTAATTTGAATCAATTGCATAATTGAAAAAACACTCTTCTAGTGATCAACTCGGACTCAAAAGGTCCATTGTATTACTTGTAAGCGACCCGTGCACTTGCGATTTGTACTTTTAGCGGACAGCCTTCAACAACAATCCGTGGGGTCGGAGATATTTTAAAAATATCGTACACGTCTTCACCAGATCACACTGACAACCCAAGGGGTCCGTGCATAAGTATGATACCAATGGATTGTCCCTGACTGTACAAGTAAATGTTTGACATAGTTAGCATTAAAATATTTTATATATATTAACTGTATATATTTTAGATCTGAGTATATGGGACTGTCCCTCTATTGGGTAACCGCTTTGCTAGGCGAGAAAAGACACGCTATCCTCGGATACATCATTGACGAGTATCCCTAGCGGACAGATGTTCATATGGAAAATGGTTTTTGGCTTTCCTCGAAACCATCATGTGAGTGTTATATATTTATGATTTATATTATATATAATTTAAAATCTAATTACATAATCATTAACTAGTTCAAATGTCAAAGAGGAGGAGAGGATGGATGAGGTGGTAAGCCTTGAGGAGGTGGTGATCCCCTTGACGGAGGAGTGGCAAGCCACGAGGAGGGGACAGTCCTAGGGATGGAAGAGGTAGAGTTCTCTAGGGCGGAGGAGGAGAGGATGCTCTTCGTGACTGAGACTGAGAAGTACATTATACTAACTCGTATATGCTTCTTTTAACATGTTCTCTATTTTTTTCAGAGCCAGCCACATGATAGCTCAAAGGATTATCTCGGACACTTAGAAGTGGTTTCATGACATCGCCATTTCAGGGGCTTGGCTTGTTGACGATGTAAATGAAGTAGTCATATTATAATTTTTCGTGTATACATGATTTTCGATTTATTAAATGAAATAACTCTCTATTTTTTGGTGTTTCTTGATGTAGTACATCGACTTAGCCATGGATTTGTTGCGCGATTGAGATGAAAGATATACAAAATCATTTCACATTCATGCCTAAATAATATTGAACATCGAGTTCATTCGTGTCGTTACTATTAAGTATCAGTTGCTCCAACTTATAGGTAATGAGTACACAGTGTCCAATTATATGTTCAAGTGGGTCATCGGGATGTCGTCAAGTGTCAAGAAAAAGTCATAGGAGGGTTGTACGCATATGTACATTTTAGTGATCGTGAATCATCACTGTATTGTCGTGGAAATCATCTTCACTAGCGGTGAATGTGGTTCGATTTTGGTTCTATTTTAATCCGTAGTTTACTATCGACATGATAGTAATATATTTAAAAAAGTTAACATATAACTTTAAATGAAAATTTATAAAGTTAAATGCTAAATTACATTCATATTTATCATGAAACACGTGAATAAATTATTTTTAAAGTTGGTTACTAAAAGATAGTAATAGAACAAATACATATTTCTTCATTTTTATTTAACTTTTATTGTTTGTTTTTCATATTGTCACTAGCGGTTGGTAAAGGTAGAGTCATATTCTGCTGCTATAGTTTAGTCAAAACTCCTTTCGTCTTGATAGTGAGATGTTAAATAACTATTGAATTGAATATGTTTAGATGTACAAAGATTAATAGAGTTTAGAGTTATTGGGAATTAACAAATTTCATTTTCTAAGTACTTTATGAAAATAGAAGATAGCAGTACTAGTTCAAGAACTTTAACATTTTCACAATCAATACGCTCTATCTTTCATTCTTTCCAAACAACAAAACAAGTTCATTAATTATCTAGGCACACAAACAGTCATTTTTTATCCAAACCACAACTCTCAAGTATATAATATGTTCAAAAATAACAAATAAAAGAAAGAACAATGGAAAAATGGCTTGATTGAGAATTTGAAGCTTACCGAAAGAAAAGAGAAAAGAGACGATTCAAGTAGAAATTAGCAGACTAATAGGTAAAAGACGACTGACGATTTGTTCAACAGTGGTTGAAAATCGTCAAATGTTTGCGAAATGAGAGTTCATGTTATGGCTTCTGAAACTTTGGACGTGATTTGGTGCCGTAATTTTGTTGAATTGTGATTTGAATTGTTAAAAATATATGTTTTTTTTTTCATTTCACATGATTTGTAAATAATTTAGTTTAGTTTAGATATCGGGTGAAGATATATGTTGTGAACTTTTTAAACTATGGGCCAATAATGATGAACCTAGTTTATTTTCTATGATTGTTTGAATGGACTGGTTGTAATTTATATTGCTAAATTGATTTTTTTTCTGAAAAGTGAAAACTGTAAAACTTATAAGTTAATAAAATTAATGTTTTAATTAAAAAGTTTAGAAACCGTTCGGTTTGATTTGTGAGATTTTTGAAAATCTAAATCTAAATCAAACCATTTTAAAACGGTTTAATTGGTTTGAGGAGAAAAAAACGCGGGTCAACGTGGACCCGAACCATTGATTTCAAATTAACGATTTCGATTTGGTTTGCAGTTCCACAATTTTTTTGTGCAGCTGTAGTCATCGCTGACTTGACTATAAATATGTACAACCTCGATCATTCATGTCTAACACAGGTCCGCTCGAGCAAAATTTGGAGCCAATGGCTGTAATCGTTCCTTTGATGAATTTTCAATACAACGGTTGAAGCGATAGCTTTGGGACTTCTTGATTATCATCAGATTGTGACGTAACTCATGGAGCTTGAAATAATAAACTCGATTCTTGCTAAGAATTTGTATTATTTGCCGATTGAGAGATTGGATTTCGAACAAAAACTCATTTGTCAAGGAGATAAGTAGTGGTGATGGAAAATAGTGGAGCAGTGGTAGATGAGATTTGTTAGGAAAAAAAAAATTAATAATAATATATATATATATTTTAAATCTTTCTTTCAAAAGTCATTTGCACTTTTTTAAAATTTTGATACGGTAATTACAATTATTTCCTCTTTATT